TCAGGTATTTGCCAAGCAGTGCTGTTGATACAAGGAGGAAAAAAAAAACCTCACAAGAAAAAGATCTCTTTTCACTGCAGTTACTTTGAAGAGAGGGAGGATGTCATTCTTTATTATTTCAGTTGCTAATCCCAGCAGGTTTGCATCATTATCTGATGGAAGTGTCCTTTCTCACTGTGTGAAGGTGTAGTCAGAGGGACCAGTGTGAAGGCCAGCTTTCCAAAGCAATACCTGTGCTCTTGTGCTGGGAGCATGGCAATAGCCCTACCACCTGCCCAGCCACCACCACCAGCACACAACTGCAAGACTTCCCCTTACCGCTGCCACTCCAATGCCCGCTCTCTTTTGGTAGAGTGCTTTTATGACAAAGGAGTGTTTAAAAATAGTTTTATTCTAAAATGTCCTACCCAAATGGCAGAAGGTGTCTGTAGTTGCCATGTTTGAGTGATCTCTGACGAATGTGCTTAATTTACAAGTGTAAATGGGGCTGGCATTTGACCAGCGGATGGCTGGGGTTGCCAGCTTGACTGGGATGCTGAAAGTCAACCAAAGGTAAGGTCTCTGCTAGTTTCAGCCAGGGGAGCTGGCCTACATACTGTGAGCAAACAGGGTTGTATGATCACTACAGCCTACATTGTGTAGTGCCGTCACCTCAACAAGGGCTTTAAATCCAGCATGAGTGGCTGCCTGTCCATCTACAGCCACGTTTGTCAGCTACAACGCTTGTCCCTCAGCAAAAAATTGGCATGCCCATGACTCACACGCATGGCATCTCACTCAGCAGCCCTTAACCCTTCCACCTCAGCCATGCCTTTCTTCTATGGAAAAAACACATGTTTTTCAGGTTGAAAATGTGTCCTTGCAGATACTTGCACAAGCCAGGCTATGTTTGCATGGAAACAGTTGGCTGGAGTTGCGTGCTTGGTTCAGTTCGCAGCACACACAGGAGAAGAAAATCGAGCTCACTTTCCTAAGCATGCTGGTTTGCGGGGCTAATGGAAGCAGCAAGAAGTATCCTCACCTCTTCCTCCCATTTTAGTAGGCGTGCTTTTGAATAAATACACAAAACATTTCTGTTGAAGAAATTGGTGTCACCCTTATGTAGGTGCAAGGATGCTCTCTGTAGTTATCACTAAGAGAATCTCTGAAGACTTGTAAGACGCAAATAAGTATTTGTGACAAAGAGGGTCTATGAAGATGTTGCAATGAGGTACATTTATTTTAGAGTATTTGAGGGCCACACTTCTTTACTTTGCTGAAAAGACTAGAATTTGGATTTCCATTTTCCCAGGAGGAGAGAATGCTTTCAGTAATATCACAGCTAATCCAGTCCTTTGTGCCCCTTGAGTGGCAGTTGCTAGGTCACTTCAGATGTGGCAGAAATGACACACAACCTTGAATGCAAAACTTGCCAGCCGAAATGCAATGTAAGGAGAGAGGAATAGCCTTTCTGTCTCTGCATGGGTGAGCTCAAGCTCCGTGGGTGGTGCAGAGCCGAGGGATGTGTGCTGCCCCATGCCAGCTCCCCTGGAGAACTGGTTCACATGAAGTGCAGGGATATGTCCTCAGCTTTCCCAGTGATTTGAGTATGAGACAAAAAGGAGCCTAAATTCCACCTTGTCCTTGTGCCTCTTATTTCCTGCTGGCTGCCTCTTGGTCTCCAGAGACATCTTGCCAAAGGAAATATTGGGCATAAGGCTACAGCTGAAATTTAGGTTGACTAAATATAGGCCTCAGCATTCATCTGGGGAGTAAGTGGGGAGTAACTAGGGTAATGTAAATTCATGCCCAAGCTTGCTGAGCACTCACTCAAGCCCTCAACAGTTGCTCACGTGACTTTTTATGGCCAATACCTGGAGTACAGTAGTAGAAGTAGGAGGCAGTTATTGTGGAAGATTGAGTATGCATGTTGAGAGTACACATAGGTGAACTTGCCTCAAAGAACCAAATAAATGGATATAAGAACATAATATTTCTAAAAGCAATTATAAGGCTGGAATCATTGCTGTGAAATAAAGTTTTAAATAGATATTACAGGCAACATAGTCTGTCCCATGATGCCTCAGAAAAAATATCATCATCAAAAAGCAGCTCTTCTTGCTCTGATATTTAATTTAAGGTAGCATTTACACGATGGTTAATGTCTGGAAGCTTCAGGGGGAGGAATGTCTATACCCGCGGTTGGGATAGACTATATCTTCATTAGCAAGCAGTGTCACCATGCAGGAAGAGCTATTTAAGGCACAACAGGTGCCAGGTACCCAAACTCAGCATTTCCGGTAGCTGGGGATTATTACTCCTGTCTGCCCGTGATGTGGTCCTGTGCATTAGGCAAGTGCCAGGAGTGCATTCTCCAGTTTGGTTTCACCTGCAGGGAGTCCCCAGCTATGTGAGCTCCTCGCAGTGCAATCTGGGGAAAGGGGGTGAAATTCCTTTCAAAAGCACTGAAGGGAAGGTGATGGAGGCATGGTACCTTCTGTCTTACACTGACTCCAATCTCATCCCTGACAGCGACTCCCCTGCTTACTTTGGGTTTGTCATTTACCTTTCCAGCAGGATGGGACTTGGAGCATTTCACTCCTTTCCTGTGTGGATGGAAAGCAGATGGGAGGTTCTTAGAGAGTTCATAGGACTCATGTGTGAACTACTCAGCAGCTCCAGCATGCCATGCTGCAGAAGGAGCTGCACAAAGGAAAGACAAAGGAAATGATCTCTTTTATTTATCCATTCTGAAATGCAGCTGTAAATTGTGTTATGATTTTGTCAATATATGGTGCTTGCAAAGATTTCAAATAAATAATGTTATGACCCCAGGGGCCTTATTGATTTTGTAATAATTTCAAAGAGAAGCCACTCAGTTTCCCGTTTGCTGACAAATTCTTTGCTCCCTGAGGAATTCCTATTGAACATGTATTAAAGACAGGATAAAATAATTCCAGGGAAATCCAAAGAGAGGGCTTTTTCCATGGACCCTGCTCACCAAATGGGTATTTAACCTCTGACCAGTGACGACAGGTCTCCTTTAGCTCTATTAGATCAACAGCAAGCTACTATAATTAAATAAAAAAACTGTTTAGAGCCTCACCGAACATATCCTGGGAATTAAAGCATATGGCAGGGATAGGAAGAAAAGACTTTCCATATGCTAATGACCCTTGATGTCTGAAATAAATTAGATCCATTAGAGTTTATGCTCAATAAAAGAAAGACTTTATGCACTCCAAAGTTAGTGACTCGAGACCGATTTTGGCTTAGAAATTCAATCTGCCTGCTTATTAATTCTTAGTAAGGCTCTGGAGGAGACAGGGGATGCAAAATCATAATCCTGTGCTGTATCAGAATTTTAAAGTGCCATCAGTTTCTTTTCCTTCTTTTTTTAATTAAATCATTTTTCATGCTTCCCTCTTTTGTTCTCCTCATTAATTTGATTTTGTTCCCATTTTTGTTTAATTTCTTTCTTTTTAAGGTTTCATTTATCCTATTTCAACTGAGCAGAGAACCCAGAATGAATATGGATTTTCTTGTAAGTTTAATGTTTTCTTTTATGTTCCTGGATGCTAATTTGACGCTGTTCCTTGGGTCAAGCTTTACTGTTACACCAGCTCTGTGTGAGCAGGCAAAGAGGGACCTGTTCGGCAGAGTAAGTGGCATGCTGCTTGCTTGACAGCAGTCGCAGTGTTTTGCTGTCAGTGGGTTGACACAGAATGATAACAGCCCTTATGTGTGAGGAAAATGGGAGAAGATGCTGCCTCAGAGACAGAAACTGGAGAGAGTGAACTCTCTTCTCATTAAAATTTCCTTAGCAAATGAAAAAAATGTGGTGGAGGGGTAACTTTTCTTTGAGCTGGAACTTGACAATCTGCTTCCTGAACTGCTGAGGAAAAAAATGTGTTGTTCCACGGCTGATACATTGAAGGTCTGATGGGTAGGACCTTACAGAGATTGGTCAGTCCCTTTCAACATCTGCCAGCTCTCACCTCTGCACTGGAGGACAGCCTGGCTTAAATGGCTAGAAGGCAAGGAACAAAAAAGTAAAATAAAAATTATTTCACATGTTTCAAACTAACAAAAGTAGGGTACTAAAAAAGTCTGATTTGCTTTTGCACTTTCTTTTTTTCATTACGCTATCTCTAAAACTAGGATTATTCAGTGTTCAGAAACTCATCAAGTTTTGGACATATATTCAGACCTTTTGGAAAAAAAAATGTCTAGTGGATAATGATGCTAGAGATTAGCCTGGAATTAGTGCTGAAGATACGGTATAAGCAGCTAGTAGAAATATCGTAGCCATTTTCTCACAAGACAGCTCTAATAAATCTGAGGTCCTTTTTGTAAATTACCACATTATTTCTTGTGCTTGCTTCGGCTTTTATCCAAATACAGATGTGTTAATGCCAGTGATGAGAATTCAGTGTTTGATTCTCTACTTTACTAGATATATTTTTTTAAAAGGGAAATGGATGGAAGGGAAAAATGTCTTGACACATTATAGTTTAAAAAAAGCAAACTCAAAGATACATCCTGATATTCCAAGTATTCCATAGAACGTGGACATTTTGGTTTTTGTTTGTTTTTTTTTTTCTTTTAGTTTTCATTAGAAATAAGAATTCTGAAGTTCAAAAACCCGTGACTTTTTTTTATCATATGAACCACTAAATACCAGTATTATGACACTATGTCACTAAGACGTACTGTTTTATTTCATAGGATGAATTTGCTTCATGACACTAAGTCTATTACGTGTGTTATGCTTAGTTGTTCACAGCCTGG